ATGGCCCTAACTTGTTAGATGAACCTTTGAAAGGCTTCATAGTGAACCCTGTCGACCTTCCTTGGTAGTGGGTTAAGAGGCTCATGACCTCAGGCGAAAGTGTACAACCTCTGCAGAGTGTAAAATTGGTATATCAGCCGTGCTCACGGTCATGAGAGGTCTTGGAACCCTTACGGAATAGATAATGAACACTAATGATATGGATGATGAAGATGCTCACTAATGGTTAATTGTTTATGCTATTCATTATTAATGTTTACCTGATCATGTGTTTATATGGGCTTGTGATAAACTTGTTGCTACTCTGCTAAAATTGTGACAATTAAAAGCTAATCGTTGTTAAACCAGTGTCAGCCTTTTGAGCCTCGTGAACCCCATGTTATATTTGTTGAGTACGACATGTGCTTATGCTTGCTTTATTATTTTCAATTATTTGGATAAAAATCCAGATGGGTACCAGATTGCTAGAGTTTGGAGGAATTAGGCTTGTGGTCAACCAGTCAGTTGTCCCTGTGGATTTGGAGTCTTTGCCTAAAGATCGGAGTTGTCTTTCCGCTGTCTATACTCTGAGGTTATAATCTTTATACTAATACGCTATGTATTTAAGCATTGTCTTTTGATATTACCCTTATTTGTAGCTATATGTGAGATTTGACTTCCTGGGCTCACATATGGTGTGTATCTGGTTTTGTTCTTAAAACCGGGTGCTACAAAGTGGTATCAAAGCAATGTTGACTGTAGGACGCAAGCCTAGTTAGAACTGGATGTTCTAGTATGCATTCTTCTATGCTTACTTCTTGTTTTCCCCAAACCTTGTTATTTTCTAAAAGTTATGCTCACTTCGGCCTCTGTTCTGTTATGAAAACCTTGTCTCTATTCCAAATTCTCTCTCTTCGTCTAAATAGATGGGTCATAATGAGGAGACCACCAGCATCAAAAGTCAGGAGGACCAAGTTGCGTTGTCCTTGACTACATTCGACAAGGAGAAGCTTATAACTATGCAACAATAAGTATTTGAAGGAATGATTCAACATGGGAGTTCTCAACAGTGCTTGCCACAAGGTCAAACCAACATACCAAAGGGACCAGTAAAGAGACAAGTGGCAGAAGCTTGGAAGAAGATGAAGTCCAATGAAGATGTTGGTAGTAAGACGCTTGGAAGTCAGGATCCATGTTAGTGCTGTAAGCATTATGGTTTTCCCTATCTTCTGAACAAGTCTAACAAGAGGGAAGTCAAGGTGAAACTGAGTTGTGAAACTAATGTGGATAAGAAGAGGAAGGCGGTCTCATCAGAGCTAGAATTGGGAAATAATCAATATTCAAGTTCTACTACATTGCCACATCTAGCTCTAATCCCTGGTCAGATAAACTCAGACTCTAAGGAGTCAGAAGTTTGTCAAGCTAAGATTACTCCACTCTTTCCACAGGAGGTATGCATAGATGGGTGGACGATCACCTATAAGGAGTTTCAACCCTGAAAGATCAAGCGAGCTAAAAAGTGGTCAAGTCTAACAAAGATGAACCTTCAGAGTCAGCAAGCTGACAACACAATAAGCAACAATTCTGTGGAGTATGACATCACAAAGGATCTAGCTAAGAGAAAGTGTTATCATTGCCAGCAGGAAGGACATTATGTTAAATCTTGCCCACAGAAGAATCAACAATTACACCATGGAAGTAGCCAGAGTTAGATCACTACCGGACTGCCACCAAAAAGTGTCAGTGATACCCAACCCCAAAGAAGCATTCGGTGAGAGTGACGAATGAAGAAGTCATGCTAGACTACCCAAGATCCTTAGATAAGGAATAGGAGTTTGTGCCCTTTATGTAATAAAAACGATAGTATCGCAAGTTGAGTCAATGATTGAATTGTGCATCTTTATTGCTTGTTGAATTGTCATTATGCTTATGATTATTTTAAATCTTTGTAATGATTACAATGATCTTGTTGGGTGTTCCCACAATTTCATTTAGTTTATAGGCCTAAGGTATAAGGATCAGTGCAATAAATAGTTGGGTTATGGTATTCTTGTGTTTCCTCTATCCTGTCCTTTTGGACCAGCCTGCACTCTTTGGCTTATATCTCTAATCTTAGATGACCAAAAATCATGAGGAAATTCTGGACAACAATAGACTTCAATATCTTTCTCTGAGCGCAAGAATCAGCTTGATAGCTATTTTGGTTATGGAGATATGAAAATCACAAGATGATGTGTTTGTGCTGTTTGGAACTGGAACAGTTTCTCTTGTGCACTATTTTGACCAAGTTAACTGTAGAATTTGGAAAAGTGTTCTATAGGGAAGTTGTGGACGATTTGATAAGCTTTCCAATAGTATAAGCTACAACTTCATTGGATTAATAGAATGAGAGTTACAGCTGTTTCACTGCGCTGCTGTTTTTCATCTTGCGAGGAATTTCAGGTTTCTTGTTCTTGCCCATACACAAGAGTATCATTAGGATGCTAGAACATCTTGATACTAGTTAGCTCATCTAGAAGAAGGTGCAAGCTACCCCTCTTGTGTACCCTACTTTATCTTTTCTTAAGGGGGGTAGCCAAGCTAAAGAAGTTGCAAGACGAAGGTTTCATATGTTCTGGAGTTTCACTTGGAAGTATAGGTTATGCCTCTAGATGAGAGATCATCATCCAACGCAGATGGATAAATTTGTTGGGTCATCTACAAGTAACTAATGTATTCATCAAGAATTGACCTTCTCTTCGAGCTATTATCAATTGGGAGTTTAATCTTCAACATACATAGGATAGGTTGGTATGGATGACGTAGGAAGGAGATATTGGACATTTATAGTTGATTCAATGGAGACTCAGAACATCTCAATGATTTACCAAGTTAGAAAGTGAGTTTTGGTTCAAGGGAAGTTATCCGAGATCCTCAAGATATTGGTAGAGCTGCTGGAGAACTTTTAAGTTAGTTGGATCAAAAGACCTCAGCTAAGTGTTTGAAGGAGTCTAAGAAGAGGTTGAAGAAAAACCTATGTATTAGCTTTGCCAGATCTGGATGAGAGCTTCATATCTACAATGATGCACCTTGTCAAGGTGTGGGATGTGTCCTTATACGAGAGGAAAGGTAGTGGCTTGTTCATTAAGTCAGCTAAGGAAGCGTGAGTTAAACTACCTAACATGTTATTTGTAGTTATCCATTGTGGAGCATGGTAGTAATATCTTCTTGGAAGTAAGAGTGACATCTAGGAGGATCACAAGAATCTACATGACATCTTCACCAAGTTGGTCTTGAGCTTGTGATATCTTCGTTGGAATGAAATTGGTTATGACTTGGAAAAGTGCTACCCTTTGAGGAACAAAGTCACGGCCGATGCCCTTAGCAACGGAGAGTTGTGCTAGGAAGGTTCGGGTGACACCAAGGACTAAGAATTATATTCCAAGTTTGTGCAACCTGACTGGAACCATTAATGTTTTGAGGATTGGTGGTAGATTCTCCTTCTGGTCAAGGGATTCGTAAGGTTCTGTTGTAAGGTGATTATTTTAAGAAAAACAATTGATATTATGGACAAAAAAAAGAAAGGTGGCCTAGTGATTGGAGTTACCTGAGTATTGTTTGGAGTATCTGTCAAAATCTTAGAATCATTTTAGTAAGTTATTCGAGTAAGGTCAACAGGTATGCAAAGTAAAGTGGGATCCTTATCAAGACGATGGAATTACACGTGGAAGTAAAGAAGAGTCTAAAGATGAAGTATCCCTATCTCCAAGTCGACGTCTTCTGAATCTCGGGGACGAGATTGATCTTAAGGGGGGTAGAATTATAATACCCTAAAATTTTCTCTTCTGAAAATAGGTTTAAAATGATTTATTTTTGAATTTTTGTGCTCATGAAAACATAGGAAAATAAAAAATTTTCATTAAATCAAAATTCATCATAAGGTAGCAATATGTTTGAGCATACATGCCCTTGCATTTGATTTATTTGGTTGAGTGGTTTTGATTGAAAATTTAAAATGGTTCAAATTGCTTTTGGGAAAAAATTAGAAATGGCTTTGAAGTAAAAGAAAAGAAAGAAAAGAAAATTAGGAAATAAATGCATTTAAAAAGTTGTAAAAAATTATTTTTGGAAAACTTACCAAAATTTCTCATTCTGTTTGAATTGAAAAGTGTGTTTGAAACCCCTTTTGGATTTGAATTTGTTTTACATTTGAATTTGGGAAATAGAACAATATTTGGAAATTGGAAAAATTTCTTTCTCTTTAATCTGGCACGAAGGCCTATCCTGCTCTCCCTCTATTTGGCCTGTTAGCCCAATGATGAGGACATCCTCCACTATTAACCGCTGGCAAAGACGCAACAAAGGGGCCAAGTGGCCTAGTTGTAGTCGGGCGGCGACCGTGTGAGCCTCTGAATAATCCCACCTTACTTAGCTTGGGAGGAGGAAGCCACCTTAAAAGGGAGAGCCACCCTTAAAGATGATCATCGACGAAAGTCCACCTGGAGCAAATATTTCCTTGGCCTTCTTTATATATTTTTCATCATAAGAAAATGCACCAAATAGAAGACCAGTTACCATATTTGAGACTGGACAAGAATTCTATACAGGTATATTTTGAGAAGCCATGGGCTCATCATCCTCTCCTTCTTTAAACAAAGCTGTCCTCGGCTTTGATATATTCTCATGTGTATCTTGTGCATCAAATACATTTTGAGAAACCATGGGTTCATCATTCTCTCCTTCTTGAAACGAAGCCGCCCTCGGCTTTGGTGTATCCTCAAGTGATACTTCCATCTTGCACTTAATTTCACAAACATCAGGAGTCATAACTGAAACATCTTGACTGCCATTACTAGTAGCTACTAAAGCAACAGTAGTCGCATCATTAGGACCGTCAAATAAAACAGTTCCTGTCCTTGAGATTTCTTGGAATGATTCATTATTAGTTGAAGCAACAACCACATCATGCTCCATAAACTGTGTAGAAGATTTATTTAGAGCTGCCTTTGCAATTTCAGATCCGTTGCAAGTTGCTTCAGAAACTATATCATTTTCTCCCTCCAGAGCTAAAGCCACCATTCCCATTATTATAATTTCAGAAGAATTATTTGACTCATTGTGGTAACTTTCACAACCTTTATTACTCAAATAATTAACCATCACCATAGTATCGTCTCCAGCAACAGGGATGTCACGATTACTACCTGCAACTTTAGAATCCACACACGAATTTTTAGATGCAAGAATACCAGCAGCTATAGTCACATCATTCTTTCTTGCATTATTAGGAATATTTGAATTATCAGCAGCATACAATGGAGCTAAAGCAGATGTACCATTCTTCTCAATATTGTCAGAGATAGAACCAAACGGAATTGCTGGTTTAATTGGCTCTGGGTAGTTAATTGCAGACTCACTAACATCAATATTTATAGTAGGAATATTCACGCCATTCTCTCCCTCTTGAAGCAAAGCCATCCTCGGCTTTGGGATAATTTCAGGAGCCTTTTTCTTTACTTTCACAGTAGGAAACACCTCAGCCGTAATAGCATTATTCGGCATCGATTTTAGCAAATGATGAACTCCCTTATGCACAAACGAATAATTATTGGAACGACCACCATATGTAGCATCAAGATCAAATTGCCATGGTCGACCCAACAACAAATGGCACGCACTCATCGGCGCAACATCACAGTCTACTGTATCCACATAATTACCAACTGAAAATTTTACTCTAACCTTATGAGTAATTTTCAGCATACCACTTTGATTCATCCACTGCATATAACGTGGCATTGGAAGCTTCCGCGTTGACAGAGACAAAGCATGCACAAGATCTAAACTAATAGCATTTGTGAAACTACCACCATCAATAATTAGCTTGCATATCTTATCCCGAATTTTGCATTCGGATTGAAATATATTGGACCGCTGCCCCTTGACATTAACAATAGTACCATCACTCTGTACTTCTCGAGCCAATATACATAACCCATTTGTTGCATCATCAACAATATCAGTAATTCCAGAGTGACAATGATTATCATGGGAGGAAGCATTACTAGTTGTACCTTTCATTTCCTGGTCAGTGGAGTCTCCTTCCTTCACACCATCAGCAGGAACGGGAACCTCTTTATGTGCTGTTGGAGGAGACAAAATTACAGAAAAATGACTAGCAGCTTGCGTCATACTTTCTTTCGGAGAAGAAGTTTGTCCTATATTGAGAGGCTTGCTATATTGATTAGTAGAATCCAACTGTTTGATAGGCACCATGCACTTCTGAGTATCAACATATTGACTTTCCTTTGCTGCCACACACATTTTCTTGGGACAAAGAGAACTGCGAGCACAAGCAGATAATTTGTCACCATAATTATTGTGACTGGTAGCTTGCTTTAATTTAGTGGAAGAAACAAATTCAGCATGCATAGACTTGCCATAACTAACACCAGAACCCAGCTTCTTCTCATAAGAATTAATATCACCGACTAGCCGGTTAAAAGCAGGAAGGTACTCATCTCCAGCAATAGAATCAGCCCATGACGAGCGCATATTTGTCTTAGTGCCTTGGGGAATTTGTGCACGTGTAGTAGCTACCTTCTTTGACTCAAGAGAACGAAATTGGGGCCGAAGCACAGCTTTCATATCGCTCCACGTCCAACAAGGAAATTTTTTGTCCCAGCGATCCCACCAATGTAAAATATCGTTAGTCATTGTCTCTTCTGCATAATACATCTTTAGGGCCGATTCAAGTCCACGACCCCAGAAGAAATCCTCCATATGTTCTTCCCAATCATAGTACTCCTTGAGACATGTTGCTAGAGATAACTTTGGCAAAAGATGAACTTTCTTGAGCAATTTTAAATCAGCCATTGAAAAAATATATATTCGAATGCACCGTGAGCAACCCAGAAGCTGATACCAACTGATTAAGGCCCAGCTCTGATACCAAATGATGAGGACATCCTCCACTATTAACCGCTGGCAAAGACGCAACAAAGGGGCCAAGTGGCCTAGTTGTAGTCGGGCGGCGACCGTGTGAGCCTCTGAATAATCCCACCTTACTTAGCTTGGGAGGAGGAAGCCACCTTAAAAGGGAGAGCCACCCTTAAAGATGATCATCGACGAAAGTCCGCCTGGAGCAAATATTTCCTTGGCCTTCTTTATATATTTTTCATCATAAGAAAATGCACCAAATAGAAGACCAGTTACCATATTTGAGACTGGACAAGAATTCTCTACAGGTATATTTTGAAAAGCCATGGGCTCATCACCCAAGGCCATAGCCCGCTCACCTCCAACCCTCTCTCACCCGCGTGGGTCGAGTTGGCCGCAGCCCACTCTCTCTTCTCTCCTTGGCCTGCTTTTCTTTTCTTCCCGCAGCACAGACGCGCGTGTCGGCCCAACCAGCGCTCCCTCCATTTTAGCCAAGTAGCCCAATCCATGGCCCAGCCGCAGCAGCCAAAGCTGCCAGCGCGCCTCCTCTTCCTCTGCCGCCGACTGATCGGTGGGCCCCGTCTGTCAGGCCTTTCTCCTACCTCGTCACCACACCGGACTCCACCGCTGCCACCATGGACTCCGAGTCCATCGGGCCGAGAGCCCTACGCCACCATGTCACTGTTTTGTCGTGCTGCCTACGTCGCTCCGCCCCTATAAAACCTAGAGCATCCGTGTCACCTCGCCTCAAGCCACGCCGCCACCGTGGTACCCTAGCACCGCCATAGCCGAGCATGACTTCGTCTGCCCACCATCTCTGAGCAATCTCCGACCGTGTAGTTGCCCTAGGTGAGTTCGCAATCTCCTTCTCCTTCACCCAATCCCCATTTGTTCTCTCGTGGCCGGTAGGTCGATTCCTGTACTCGCCGCCGAGTTTCTCCATGCTGGCCATGGCGCCGCCGCCGTCTATGTCACCGCCGGCGACCTCATCTCCCGCAACCAATCACAGCCATCCGATTCAAAATCAAGAGTCCAGATTAGAACGGACCCCTTCGTTGGCTCTTTTGCAAAAATCCCCTTACAATTATTTGAATCTTGACCCGCGGTCCAAAGCGCAATCACAAATTACGTTTTCTTCTTTGGAAAGCGTAGTTGCTTCGGTTTAGATCCAAAATACGTTTTCACTTATTTACAGATTTGCCACTAATTTTGTTTTAGCCATAACTTCTCTGTTTTAACTCCGATTTGATCCGTTCAACTTGCGTTAGGTTTGTAATTTCATAATCTACATGTTCATACTACTGTTAGATATGTTTTCAACTTTTATAATTCTAGGATAGATTTATTCTATTATTTTAATAAAGGAAATCTTGTTTATTTCATATCTTCTGCGTTTTAGCTATGTTTTGACCCATTCAAGTTGCGTTAGATTCATAGCAACGAGATCTGCGCGTCAGTAACAGTGGTTACCATGTCACTATTTCTAGAATTTCATGGTTTAAACTCTAATTTGTATAATAATAATAATGCAACTGGATTTTATAGATAAAATATTATTTGTATTACTTTAGTTTTATAATTCGAATCTAAATTTGATTTAATTCAATTTATATAAGCTTCTATATAGTTAGAATAAATGAAGGCTACAGTTTTCTTTTCCACGTATAAAGCAAATCTATCGGTAGATGTATCTTTTTAACCGTAGCTCCGATTAGCATGCCTCTCACGTCTGTGTGTTCGTAGCGATTCGTAGAATCGTATTTCAAACTCTTTCACTTATATTTCTATGATTGGTGTACTATTTTGATTTAGTTCTATTGTTTGCTTTATGTATGATTGTATGGATTCTTGTGTGGTGCTTTATGATTTTGTCCAGTCGGTGAGATATATGTGGTGATTAAGAAGGAGAAGAAGAACGTTGAAGATTAAAGCTTATCGAAGGATCGGTGTTTAAGGCAAGTATAGCATGGGATCTTCGTTGTTGTCCTATACACCTTTAATCATTTAATTCATGCTGCATGTGTCTACCTTGACTGCCACTAAGGATTTCCTAGTACTTTGTTACCTTGTACCTTGATACCTATGGGGTATTGCATTGGGTAGTATGATGCTAGCGCTCAATTAAAGACCATGATCTTGTAACTTGACTAATGGTATATGCAATAAACACTAAAAGATGTTTTTTATCAACATGGAACAAGGGGGCTAGAGTGCTCTAGATTCGTCTCCCTAAGGACTTATCTGTAAGTGATCATCCGGGACTTACAGTACAACTATGAGGGCTATGTGGCTCTAGCTTTAGCTCAGTATGAGGACCTTTTCTAGCTTGTTAGAGGTTACCTTTATTGGCATAAGAATGGATTAATGAATCGGGTATAGGACAACCTCTACTCTTATGTGTATAGTCGTGAGGGAATTATGCCATTTGATAGGGGCGTTCCTATATCTGTTTGCCGAGTGAATCTAATAGCCCTAACTTGTTAGATGAACCTTTGAAAGGCTTCATAGTGAACCCTTCCGACCTTCCTTGGTAGTGGGTTAAGAGGCTCGTGACCTCGGGCGAATGGGTAAATCACGACTCACAGTGAAAGTGTACAACCTCTGCAGAGTGTAAAACTGGTATATCAGCCGTGCTCACGGTCATAAGCGGCCTTAGAACCCTTACGGAATAGATGATGAAAACTAATGATATGGATGATGAAGATGCTCACTAATGGTTAATTGTTTATGCTATTCATTATTCATGTTTACCTGATCATTTGTTTATATGGGCTTGTGATAAACTTGTTGCGACTCCTTTGCTAAAATTGTGACAATTAAAAGCTAATCGCAGTTAAACCAGTATCGGCCTTTTGAGCCTCATGAACCCCATGTTATATTTGTTGAGTACGACATCTGCTTACACTTTCTTTATTTTTTTCAATTATTTGGATATGAATCCCGGATGGGTACCAGATTGCTAGAGTTTTGAGGAATTAGGCTTGTGGTAAACCAATCAGTTGTCCCTGTGGATTTGGAGTCTTCACCTGAAGATCGAAGTTGTCTTTCCGTTGTCTATACTCTAAGGTTATAATCTTTATACTAATACACTATGTATATAAGCATTGTCTTTTGATATTACCCTTATTTGTAGCTATATGTGAGATTTGACTTCCTGGGATCACATATGGTGTGTATTTGGTTTTATTCTTAAAACTGGGTGCTACAATTGCTAGTTTCAAGAGGGGGCTTAGTACGAAGCTGATGAAGACACTAGCTAATAGCAAATGTGCCACTTTCAATGAGTTTGTTAGTGATGCTTTAACCCAAGAGAATCAGAACAACATCTATTCAACATCTAAGAGTTGCAAGAGAGCTTATGAGCAGGTGCGTCTTAGCCAAAAGCTCCAACTACTATGAAACCTCGGTTTTGCCCACCCGCTCCAAAGTATAGACCACCTCAGAAGAAGCTACAGACCAGTTAGAACCAGAAAGTGTATTGCAAGGCCTTTTCTATTGCCCTACCAAAGGGTAGCATAGGACAAGAAAGCTCCAACGCTCCACCTAGCAGTATGTCATGCTGGAACTACAACAAGACTGGCCATTGGTCAAGGAATTGCCCCTATCCCAAGAACAAGAATAACATGAAGCATGGTAATCCAAATGGACATCAGGGACACGTGTGCTATACCACCCTAGAAGAGATCCCTTTAGGTGAAGTTGTTACTACGAGTACGTTTCTTGTGAACCAACACCCCACAGTTGTTTTATTTGATTCTAGAGCTTCACATTCATTTGAGTCAAATATTTGCATCCAAGCATGATCAAAGGATAGTTACTGTAGATAAAGGTGGTTATTGCATAAGTGCAGCCAAAAATAATATCTCTACCAACTAGATAGTCAGAGATGTGTGTATCTCAATAAGCAACCGAGAGTATACCTAAGATCTTGTAGTATTGCTAGGGTTGGGGATAGATGTAATCTTGGGTATGAAATGGATGAGTGGCCTGGAGTTCTCAATGACACTTTGACAAGAACCATCATGTTGAGAGAACCCCAGAGTAATGATGCTTTCTTAGTACCACTTCCTTGTGATCTTGATCTCCAAAACTTCACCGGTGCTATTCGGACCACAACCCTACTTGATATTCCAGTGGTATGTGAGTTTCCAGATGTATTTCTAGATGAATTGCCCAAGTTGCCACCCGATAGGGATGTAGAGTTTAAGATTGAGTTATTGCCAGGTACAACACCCATCTCATGGAGGCCTTATAGAATGCCACCAAATGAGCTAGCCGAGCTTAAGGTCCAATTACAAGGGCTTTTAGAGAAAGGTCTCATTCGACCTAGCTCATCTCCATGGGGTTGTCCCACCTTATTTGTTAAGAACAAAGACAAATCCTTGCAGATGTGTGTGGACTACCGACCACTTAATACCGTAACGGTCAAGAACAAGTATCCTTTGCCTCGAATTGATATCTTGTTCGATCAATTGTCAAGGGCTAAGGTGTTCTCTAAGATCGATTTGAGGCCTAGTTATCATCAGATTAAAATTAGACCAGAAGACATACCTAAAACTGCTTTTTCCACTAAGTATGGCCTGTATGAGTATTTGGTCATGTCCTTTGGGCTAACA